AAAAGTGCATTCGCAAAAACGATCATGAAAACACAAACTACGATCCTAGGACATTAATACAAATCAAGAAACATGCACAAGCACACTCGCTCAAATGGACATGCACAAACGTACATGTAAAAAAACATGCGGAAAAGTGCATTCGCAACAACGTTCTTGAAAACACGAACTATAATAGTAGGACTTTAATACGCATCAACAAACAACAACAAAAATACTAGATAAAAAAGATACAGTGGAGTGTTGGAATAAAACTCTACATTTACGTTTAAGTGGATTTTTTTTCGGATTAAATTATATTTCTATTTTAATTGGTGAGTTTGGTATCTTATAGGTACAAATTAAAAATTAGGTGTCGAGGAACAAAAAAATATCAAAGAGTAAGAAAAGAGTTGCAATTAGGAAAATAAAATCTTATTAGAAGAGAGAATCCCTCAAGATCTTTGGTAGTGTCCACGAAGTCGAGCATAACTTTCTCATCCGGACTCCAAATCAACTAGTTCCTACGTCATTAGAAAGCAATTTCAGCTGGCCACAATTCCAGTCTAACGGCAAATTTCCAAATTGGGACTCGAACATGGTCAAAATTGGATTCCAAAAGCGAACTTGAAAATACGTACTACTGTTCGAGGACATGAATGTGCCTCAAGAAATGATACGCACATAAGTAAAAGTACAAAAGCATGCACAAAAGTACTCACGCAAAAGTGCATTCGCAAAAAGGATCATGAAAACACAAACTACAATCCTAGGAAAATAATACAAATCAACAAACATGCACAAGCACACTCGCTCAAATAGACATGCACAAACTTACATGTAAAAAAACATGCGGAAAAGTGCATTTGCAACAACGTTCTTAAAAACACGAACTATATTACTAGGACTTTAATACGCATCAACAAACAACAGCAAAAATACTACATAAAAAAGATATAGTGGAGTGTAGAAATAAAACTCTACATTTACGTTTAAGTGGATTTTTTCGGATTAATTTATATTTCTATTTTAATTGGTTGATTTGGTACCTTATAGGTACTAATTGAAAATTAGGTATCCAGGAAGCAAAAATTATCAAAGAGTAAGAAAATAGTTGCAATTAGGAAAATAAAATCATATTAGAAGAGAAACTCCATCATGATCTTTGGTAGTGTCCACGAAGTCGAGCATAAGTCTCTCATCCGGACTCCAAATCAACTGGTTTCGGCGGCATTAGAAAGCTATTTCAGCTAGCTACAATTTCTGTCTAACGGCAAATTTCCAAATTCGGTCTCGAACATGGTCAAAATTTGATTCCGAAAGCGATCATAAAAATACGTACTACAGTTCGAGGACAGGAATGCGTATCAAGAAACGTGCACAAAAACACTCGCTAGAAAAGATACGCACATAAGTAAAAGTACAAAAGCATGCACAAATGTACGCACGCAAAAGTGCATTCGCAAAAAGGATCATGAAAACACAAACTACAATCTTAGGACATTAATACAAATAAACAAACATGCACAAGCACACTCGCTCAAATGGACATGCACAAACGTACATGTCAAAAAACATGCGGAAAACTGCATTCGCAACAACATTCTTAAAAACACGAACTACAATACTAGGACTTTAATACGCATCAACAAACAACAGCAAAAGCACTAGATAAAAAAGATACAGTGGAGTGTAGAAATAAAACTCTACATTTACGTATAAGTGGATTTTTTTTCGGATTAATTTATATTTCTGTTTTAATTGGTGGATTTGGTATCTTATAGGTACAATTTGAAAATAAGGTGTCCAGGAAGCTAAAATTATCAAAGAGTAAAAAAATAGTTGCAATTATGAAAATAAAATCAAATTAGAAGAGAGAATCTCTCAACATCTTTGGTAGTGTCCACGAAGTCGAGCACAACTTTCTCATCCGGACTCCTAATCAACTGGTCCGGTGGTACTAGAAAGCTATTTCAGCTGGCTACAATTCCTATCTAACGGCAAATTTCCAAATTCGGACTCGAGCGTGGTCAAAATTTGATTCCAAAAGCCATCATGAAAATACGTACTATGGTTCGAGGACATGAATGTGCATCAAGAAACGTGCACAAAAACACTAGCTAGAAAAGATACGCACATAAGTGAAAGTACAAAAGCATGCACAAAAGTACTTATGCAGAAGTGCATTCGCAAAAAGGATCATGAAAACACAAACTACAATCCTAGGACATTAATACAAATCAACAAACATGCACAAGCACACTCGCTCAAATGGACATGCACAAACGTACATGTAAAAAACATGCGGAAACGTGCATTCGCAACAACGTTCTTAAAAACACGAACTATAATACTAGGACTTTAATACGCATCAACAAACAACAGCAAAAACACTAGATAAAAAAGATACAGTGGAGTGTAGAAATAAAACTCTACATTTACGTTTAAGTGGATTTTTTTCGGATTAAACTATATTTCTGTTTTAATTGGTGAGTTTGGTATCTTATAGGTACAAATTAAAAATTAGGTGTGCAGGATGCAAAAATTATCAAAGACTAAGAAAAGAGTTGCAATTAGGAAAATAAAATCATATTAGAAGAGAGAATCCCTCAAGATCTTTGGTAGTGTCCACGAAGTCGAGCATAACTTTCTTCAGCTGGCTACAATTTCTGTCTAACGGCAAATTTTCAAATTCGGACTCGAACATGGTCAAAATTGAATTCCAAAAGCGAACTTGAAATTACGTACTACAGTTCGAGGACATGAATGTGCCTCAAGAAACGTGCACAAAAACACTCGCTAGAAAAGATACGCACATAAATAAAAGTAAAAAAACATGCACGAAAGTACTCACGCAAAAGTGCATTCGCAAAAAGGATCATGAAAACACAAACTACAATCCTAGGACATTAATACAAATCAACAAACATGCACAAGCACACTCGCTCAAATGGACATGCACAAACGTACATGTATAAAAACATGCGCAAAAGTGCATCCGCAACAACGTTCTTTAAAACACGAACTATAATACTAGGACTTGAATACGCATCAACAAAGAATAGCAAAAACACTAAATAAAAAAGATACAGTGGAGTGTAGGATTAAAACTCTACATTTACGTTTAAGTGGATTTTTTTCGGATTAATTTATATTTCGGTTTAATTGGTTGATTTGTTATCTTATAGGTACAAATTGAAAATAAGGTGTCTAGGAAGCAAAAATTATCAAAGAGTAAGAAAAGAGTTGCAATTAGGAAAATAAAATCAAATAAGGAGAGAGAATCCCTCAACATCTTTGGTAGTGTCCACGAGGTCGAGCATAAGTTTCTCATCTAGACTCCAAATCAACTGGTTCCGGCGGCAATAGAAAGCTATTTCAGCTGGCTACAATTCCTGTATAACGGCAAATTTCCAAATTCGGACTCGAACATGGTCACAATTGGATTCCAAAAGCGATCATCAAAATACGTACTACAGTTCAAGGACATGAATGCGCATCAAGAAACGTGCACAAAAACACTCGCTAGAATAGATACACACATAAGTAAAAGTACAAAAGCATGCACAAAAGTACTCACGCAAAAGTGCATTCGCAAAAAGGATCATGAAAACACAAACTACGATCCTAGGACATTAATACAAATCAAGAAACATGCACAAGCACACTCGCTCAAATGGACATGCACAAACGTACATGTAAAAAAGCAAGCGGAAAAGCGCATTCGCAACAACGGTCTTAAAAACACAAACTACAATACTAGGACTTGAATACACATCAACAAACAACAGCAAGAACACTAGATAGAAAAGATACAGTGGAGTGTAGAAATAAAACTCTACATTTACGTTTAAGTGGATTCTATTCGGATTAATTTATATTCCAGTTTTAATTTGTGGATATGGTATCTTATAGGTACAAATTGAACATAAGGTGTCTAGGAAGT